ATATAGCTAACAATTGTACTCGGTACCTAGTTTTAATAAGGCGACTATAAATCAATTGTCTCTAGCCAACTATAGTCAGCTTGGGGCAACAATCGAGTATAAATAATCATTGCACAAGTTAATAAAATTGTCGTATAAAAAATATAAATGTAAATAATAAAATTACGCAAAATTCAAGAAGAAGGGATGTTGAAGTGCATTAACCTAAAACAATTCAATTGTTACCACAAGCTGATTATAAGTAGCCGCCTTATTAACAGTAGGTTCCTATATAGTTAAAATAAAATGACAATTGTTGGCTAATGGTTATATCTTAGCGTTTTTGTTTTCAAATAACCTCTACCATAATGGGTCACGGGGTCCATGACATTTCGGTCCCGCCGTTTTGGTCCCGCCATTTTGGTCCCGCCGTTTCGGTCCCGGTCATTTCGGTCCCGGCCGTTTCGGTCCCGGTCATTTCGGTCCTACAATCTATTTTTCTCTATCACCAGTACATTGCTTTTTCTTTAATGCGAAATTGTATTCAATGTAATTAATAATGATTTTAATCACACTGCCACAACACAATGAGACAGATGTTATAATTATTCCAAATTTTTAATAATAATCGTTAGTTAATTACCTTGCACACTAAGTGATAGTTAATAGCTTGTTAATTTGTTGTTGACCCTTTCTCCTATTAACTTATGCTTTATAGCATATTAGGTGTTGGTCACCAAAATTATTTGTTTGTAACAATAAACGATATAATTCCTTGGTTTGTTGTGTAATCATATTACTTCTGTTACAACTGTTAGTTAGTGATGATGGCAGAATTATTATCGCAGAGAGGTGGTTTAAAAATTGCTCATCACGGTCACTTGTTCTCATTTCATAAGAAAAGTAGTGATGGAACATTAAGTTTTTGGCGATGTGACAAACGAACTTCCGAGAACTGTAAGGCTCGACTGCATACAGATGCGAATGGAGGTGGGTAGTGGAAAGTGTTGAACGAACATTCACATGGGGCCAATCCTGGAGGTATTGAAGCTGTCAGAATTCAAAATCTTATTAAAAGGCATGCTGAAACAACCCTAAGCACACCGGCAAATATTATCAGTGAAGCTTTACAAGATGTGGGTGTTGCAACAAGAGGACAACTTCCTTCGAAATGTGCGTTAAAAAAAGTTGTTCAGAGAAGGCGAAACATCCTGAGGGCAGCACCTGTCCAGCCTGATAATCTTGCTGCGCTCATTATCCCACCCGAGTATACACAATATGAATTTCAACGTGATCAATTTGCAAACTTCCTTCTACATGATTCGGGCGAAAGAGACAATGAACGCATTCTAATTTTTGGAAGATCTTCGTATGGAAATTGGTCTCAAGAAATGAAAAAAATTTATGTGGATGGAACATTTCGCATTGCTACACAATTGTTTGGCCAGGTATATGTCATTATGGCTGAAGGAGGAGGTTTTGTGTTTTCGGTTGCCTACTGTTTGCTACCCAATAAACAGCAGAGAACATATGAAAAAATGTTCCAAAACCCACTCGTGGGTATTGCCGCGTAACACAAAGTATTGAAACGACGCATCGTCACCAAAAGCACACAAAATGTCGAATCTGCATATTGAAGCACGTCCACGTCCAGAGAAAGAAAGGAGTTAAATAAGTAAAATAAAGTTTCAAAGAAATATCACCATACATAAGAAAGTTGGGTATGAGCAGCCTGTGCAGTCATTGCGTATGCCCACATAATTTTTACTATGTGCGAAATGTTTACCTTTACTAGAAGCGCCTGTGGTTAAAATTTCAAAGAAATATCTCCATAAATAAGAATTTTGGCACTGCGCAGTATGCTCACACATCACTGCGCATGCCCACACATTATTTTTACTATATGCGAAATGTTTGCCTTTACTAGAAGCGTCTGTGGTTAAAATTTCAAAGCAATATCTCCATAAATATGAAAGTTGGCATTGCGCAGTCTGCGCAAAATATGGAGTTAAATGAAACTGATCGAAATGGGCAAATATAGACCATAACAGCTATCAATTAGCGAAAACGCGAAGTCTCTAGGTGGCCCAGGGGCCGAGATCTCGATGGAACGGACGGACGGACGGAAACACGAGCACATAAGCTTTACCTCAACTTCGTTGTGTTACGCTAAAAATGTGGGACGCTATTAAGATTTTTTGGCCAAACTTTTTGCCAGATTCTATTTCCACAGATTTCGAACTGGCAGCAATAAATGCTATGCGGTCTGCGTTTACAAATTCAAAATTTTTTGGATGTCTTTTTCATTTGATGAAAAATATGAAAAAAAAGTTAGCGGGAGAAGGATTGACAGCGCAGTACAATAATGATGCAGACTTCGCTTTGGCTGCTAGGAAAATTGTAGCTCTGGCATTTGTGCCTATCGATAATCTTGACGACGCATTCGAGGAACTCAGCGAGTCAACACCAGTAGAACTTGAACCAATATTACACTGGCTCGCCTACATTGGGCGCCCTAATCGAAGGGGAAATCGAAGAGAGCCAACCTTTCCACCAGAATTATGGACTGTTTTTGAAAGAACATTAAATGGCGATGCAAGGACAAATAATATTGTGGAAGCTGCGCACAGAGCACTACAGGCCGAGATGGGAATGGATCACCCAACGCTTTGGAAATTTATTGACTCTCTTAAAAAAGTTCAATCGGGAAGAGATCAAACATTTGAGGAGTATATCCGTGGTGACGGGCCAATTCCAAAAAGAAGAAAATATATACAAGCTGACAATAGAATACTAAATATTCTGCAAGATAGAAATAATAGAACACACAACGAACTCCTTCAAGGAATTGCTCACAATTTTTTGATGAACTAGTGTAATGTGTCATATAACGGTTTATTTACGCCCGAGGCATCATGTTTATTATATTGACCATGTAATATTATATTACAAATAATAAAATGTATTTTGTAAAACATATGATTTTCTTTATTTTATTTTTTATTTGTTTATGGCGTCCAGGTAATTAACTAACGATTATTATTAGAAATTTGAGATAATTATAAGATTTGCCTCATTGTGTTGTGACCTGTATGAATAAAATCATTATTAATTACATTGAATACAATTCGCATAAAGCAAAAGTTCAATTTATTTATTAAACAATGTGCTGGTGATAGAGAAAAATAAATTGTAGGACCGAAATGACCGGGACCGAAACGGCCGGGACCGAAATGACCGGGACCGAAATGGCGGGTCCAAAATGGCGGGACCGAAACGGCGGGACCGAAATGTCCTGCTCCGTGGGTCACGCTGTATTTAGAAACATGGAAATTTTGAGTCAAATTTCAGTTTATAATGTCTCTAATTACCGATGAAAATATTTAACGCGCTTACCTTTCTTTTAATTTGGAAGTTCTTTTTTAGAATTGTGAAATTTTTCCTTAGAAATCTGATATTTTTTGCCTGAATTTAGTGTTTGACAATGTTTTCGATCTCTGAAAACTTAAATCTCTTCGATGTGGGTGCGAGGTACTGCAACAATCCGTCATTTTTATGCACAAAAATCTGTATCTGGGAAAATTGGCGAAAGTTTCTTGCCTTCTGATACATTTGTAATTTTTTCAAAATGGATACAAAAAAACTGGTGGGTATACGAACGAATGAAATCCAAGTTTTTTAACAAAAGTTACTTTTCAACATTCCCATTTTATAACTATAGATAAGTACCTTCCTAAAAACTAGCGTAACCTACGCTATGGCCTTTCATTATGTTTCTAAGAAAGTGTTTTCAAATTGCCGTAACCATCGTAAAGGAAAAAAAAATGTATAGTGAAAGAAATCATTAACAATTTATTGTAGTATTAACCTTTAAAACACGTGCGATTACAACTTTCCAAGCAAGCGAAAGCTCTGTGAAATTACAGCTAAATCAATAAACAATAATGAAAATATTTCGTATTCATTAAGCGGCATTTCATTCAGAAAACATCACAACCGCCTGAAACATACCCCATTAATTACATTACCTTTCGCGTCCCGCCGAATACTCGGTCCTGTAATTAATTATCGGCAATAAACGAAACAATCACCTGTTGCGCAAAATAACATTAATTATTACCATTTAAAAATAAACCGCTACTGCTACCGAAATTAAAGGGACGATAAATATTAATTTCGAACGTGGTGCACCTTAAACGATCGAAATTATTGATTGAATCGGCCAATTGAAATAAATTATTATTAAGATAACTCGTAAAGCAACCATAAAAATTATTAGAGCTATAAAATGAAGCTTGAACTGTTACAATAAATTTTTTACACAAATCTTTATGCGAAACTTTTTCCGATTGGGATTGCCTTAATTTTTTTTATTATTGAGCATTAACCTCTTCGCCCGAGTAAAAAATTTTATTGCGAAAACGTAAAATGGCAACCTTCTGTGACAGCTGATGTAAGTTAATGATGATAATTACTTGTTCGTGTTTATATTATATGCAAATGAGATCTAGTCAGTAATACGAATTGCTAACGTGTTGCTTCCTAGCAAATAATTAGCGTGGTACGTGATAATAACGCTAAGGGTCTTAAAGGAGATGAGTAAATGAAAGCGGAACGCGGAATGAAAGCGAGAAGACATTCCGGAGCTTATTAAGCGCCGCGACGCCGCGTTCTGATTGGTCGTTAAAGAGAAGTGATTAGTAGGCGAGACTGACGCCGAATCATGACCTAACGTAACATTGCCCGACTTATACAAACAAATTAGTAAAGTGTGTCATTCCGTTTTTCATTTAAAAAGTGCACTTACCTTTTCGGTACGCTGCCACCGCTGTTTTGCACATATTCGCTCACTTTGGATAGGTCGCTGGAACGGAAAAGAAAATAATTAATTACAAATGTCGAAACGTAAATCGAAGGAATTTATTTGGAGGTGTTTGAAAATTTATTGTAATAATGTTGATAATAAATAATGTGTGGAGGTCGTGGAATGGTAGTTGAGTAGGCGACGGGAGAAAGGCGAATGTTGAGGGCTTCAAGACGTGCGTCTTTGACGTCGAGACGTAAAACACGCGGTTTGTTATATTACAGTTCTGTAAAGAAACTCTATCTCGGTTTCGCAACTGAATGTGGTTAGGTTGGAGAAGGAGATATTTAGATAATCTTTAGGGAAAACGCGGAGGAGTCAAGCTGAAACTAAGAAAGTTGCGTTCGACGCTCATTTTATCCCCCCACCCCCGATCTGCGCATGGCCAAAATGGCTGCGTCGCGACGTCACCCCCATAAGCACAAAAGCTCATTTAATGCAATGTTTTGCTTGTAATTACAAGCTTTAGGTAATTGAGACGCGCTGCTGGCTACCAATTACTGAATAAGTGGGTGCAAATCTCAAATTCTGGCTTTCGACTAACAAAATCTATACCTTTATTTATTGTTGTAAGTATTATTAGATTTGCTTATCCATACGTCCCTCCTTTTTTATCGATTTTATTTCCGGGGCATTACTATTATTGCCATCACAAACGTGATGGCGATTTCCGATTTTTGTCCGTGCCGATGTGGGCGCTTCTGACTGTTACAAATTAAAATCACCTCGACGCACATTACTCGCTTACAACCAAGTGCATGTTTACTTAATGATCGTAACTGTAAAAAGATTAGAACATGAATTTTCCTACGCATGTCCTTGTAGTACTCGAGCTTGTAGCATAAATGATTTATCTACGCGAATCAGGTTATAATTAATTGTGCTGCAACACCGTTTGGGCATTCTATAATTACACATCGCCTAAAATCTTAGCTTTCGGCCAGTAAAACACGATGCTATCGGTGCCCTGTTTATACCAAAAACGTACATTATTAATAATTAAAGCCCGAAAAGTGTGCTGCGGGATTTTTATCTTAAAACTGAAAATTTGAATTTATTAAACTAAGAAGCGGGATAATATCTTAATTAGATGCGTTGCGAGTTTAATTAGAAAATGTGTGGATGTTGTACAATTTTGCTTGTGCTATTAATTACAGTAAACTAACGTGACTCTTGAAGTTAATTTGAATAATTTGGGCGTTTGTACATTTCGGATTTAATTAAGAGCGTCCATTTAACCAAATGGTACCTAGTCAAAGGTATAAAATCGTCAACTTTTAAGTGACGGTACAGAAACGCTGTTCTCATTAGTAATATGGGTAATTAACATGGCCGCTAGGTTCGAAGAGCCTTTCAAAGACAACAGATGTAAATAAATTGTTTGTAAAGTATATAGACATTATGTTCTGTTCCCTGAAATGGGCGGCAAAAAGTGGTTTCGAATTAATACAACGATTAAGGAAGTATACCAACACGCAAAGAACAAAATTGTTATTTCCTAAAGTTCAGCGAAGCACATATTGGCCTCCCCGGTGCGTAAGTTCATATATTTCCAGCCCATAATTTTTACACAAAATACAAAATCATCATTAGTCACTTATATGTAGCTATTTTCCAATTGTGAATCACTTTTAATTGTAAACCAAATAAGTACTTTCAGAACTTTTAAAATTTAAAATAGGTGGAGAATTTAACATGGAAATGGAAAGGAACTAACTCGGAACTAACTAATTAAATTTTGGTCATTTGGATTTTGTCCGTCCGTCTGGGTACGTGATAACTCCGTCCGTGATAACTCGCGAACAGTTTCGAATTTTCCAATTCTGTTTTCAGTATTATGTTTATCATCACCCAAGGAAGAACTGATTTAATTTTCAGAGACCTAGTTCGTTTGCTACATTACAAGTTTATTTAAAATATACTCTGACATCTAATGGGTTATTCAAGAACTGGTCCTTTTTTAAAATGTAAATGAAACACATTACACTGGATACAATGATGAAATCTTTATTATCAATTGAAAGAACATTTTTTGCCATTAATTTTTTGAAAATGTTGGCCGTAGCTACGTTGTAGATGACCCATTCTTTAAGCCCAATTTTCTATCACTCTTTCAAGCATTTCGACCGGAATCTCACGACTAACACGCACAATGTTTGCTTCCAATGCTTCAATCGTTGTCGGTTTATCTGCAAAGACTTTTGATTTAACGTAGCCCCAAAGGAAAAAATCCAATGGCGTAATATCGCACGATCTAGGCGGCTAACTCACCGGTCCAAAACGCGAAATCAGCTGCTCTTCGAAAAACCTTCTCAAAATATCCATTGTTTCACGAGCTGTATGGCAAGTGGCGCCGTCTTGTTGAAACCAAATGTTGTGGAGATCACGGGCTTCAATTTGAGGTAGCAAAAAGTTCAATATCATGGCGCGATAGCGAGCACCATTCACAGTTACGTTCCGGCCATCATCATTTTTGAAAAAATAAGGACCGATAACTCCACCAGCCCATAAACCACTGACCACACCAAACCGTTATATTCTCTAAGTGTAACGGTAGCACTCGAAATTCTTCGGGTTGCTCTGCAGCCCAAATACGACAATTTTGTTTATTGACGAAATACACGAAAAATATTCTTTTTCTACTCCTATGTCGTAAACATACCCAAAATGTCACCCTGTACTGCACGTCTAAATCGTTCATTATATCATACGGTTGCATAATGAAAATTAGAACTGTTACTTAATATATATATATATATATATATATTACGTAACAGGTTAAAGGTCAAACGCGAAATGTTAATTTAGTAGGTTGTCAGCCCTGCCTAATGAATGAAGTAACGTCAGATTTTGTTGTAGTAGGTTATGTTTCACATTTTGTAAACTTCTTTGAACAGAATTACTCATAATTTGTTTAAACATTGCCATTTGTATGAGGAATGGAGAATGGAGCCTGTATGTAATTTATTAGCCGTGCCCAATTATTTTTCATAATCGCAATGGGCTACTCAAGAATGGTTTGAAGCTGCGTTTAGTTAATTAAGCAAACTCTGTTGCTACTATTTTGTATTTTAGAAAACTACAATAAGTACTCGAAGAATTAGTGTATGGTGCCAATTACGACTTGCATGGAACACGGAATAATGCACTTTAGAATACTGGGTAGTCCGATGCTTTCTTCCCGGGAAAACTCGTTAAAAGACGCAGCGTTTTGAAGGCCTTAGTATTATCGATAGTTAGGTACCTAATACATTGGCAACTACAACAATAGAAATCGTTCAAAACTGTAATGAATAAGAGCACAAACACCACCTGAGCTAGTTAGGTAGTAATCTTCAACTTCAACACTTGTATCTTGTATCCTATTGGCTATTGCATCTATGGTGCTAAAATAAAACTCACATTGCAGTAAGGAATAGGGATGTAAAAACCCTGCAATACACTTCCAATCTAAGTAAAAAGTATTTATAAAATTCTTGCTCGCTGGCGTGCATTCATGGAATATGTATAAGTGAGGTTATGTTGTATTTTGTATTCCTTTTAAATAGACCATGACATTTGACACTTGACATTTCTAATTTTTAGTTCGAAGTTCGAATATTTAGAACCAAATCAATCGTAATCTATCAATCTTTTATCAATTATATTCAAGTCGTAGAAAAAGTATAGTACATAATTCGAGTGCTAGTGCCTATTACGCACTCGATTTTATTACAACACTCGCTCGCTGCGCTCGCTCGTGTCGCAAAATACTCGTGCGAAATAGGCTTCTTAGCACACTTATTATGCAATATACTATTACAGAACGCTGATTTTCATAACAAATTTGAACAATTTGAACAGTTGTTGAATAACCCGTTCTAATCATTCAATAAACTGCACCAACATAGAGAACGAGCGATAAGATCAATTCTGGTTGACGATCATTGACCAAAATTTAAGTTAGTTTAAAATCAAATTGATTAATCCGCGAATCAAACTAATTAGAGGAAATTCTGAGAAATCAAACCGTGATTTAAATTAAGCGACACATTAATATAATTGATGAGGTCATCAATTAAATCAAATGTCAATAAAGCTCAAAATCGTATCAATTTTTAATTAATTCAAATCATTGTCTAAATTCCAAGAAATTCGCGGAAATAATCACATTATCCCTCGAAATCACCCTAGACCACGTGGGCCACTCCGCAAATCAATTTAAAGCCTTGATTGACCCCCAAATTAAATCCAAGATGGCCACCAAGGTGAAAATCTTCTACTGACGTTCCGCCGCGGTCGTGAAATAATAATTCCCGATCCTTACATCAGATATCCCAGTTGTCGACATTGAAAGACCCGTGCGAGTGACGCGACACTCGAAAATACGCAATTTTTTTAGATTTAGGTAGGAACCTGCAGTGACCAGCGCACGCCATCTATCGTACAAAACACATTGGCACGGTACTAATCGAAAAACGTAGTTTAAAATAAATCCTGTAATCTGATCAGGCCCAATCAGGCGCCTAATTGTCAATCTAAACTATCAGGGGCACATAAATAAAAAATTCCTCAAAATCCGTCCAGCCGATTAGGAGGTCAGGCACAAACACCAAACCATCCATAAAGATAGGATATAAGATAAAATTTGTTTGTAGGATTTAATAGTTTTGTTGAAACCTGCTTGTACGAGTAGGTGTAGGTCAAAAGCCCTTAATACAGAGTGGGATCTCCCTGTTAGACTGATTATACAAATGTGCAAACATTTATGGCCCACCCTATATATACATTTTTGTAAATGCATGAAGCGCTATTTCTTGATTCCCTTGAAAATTTTTCAGTGAAGTTTTTAGAACCTGGCTTCCTTTAATGTCCTCGGTCCTCTCAACACTTGATAGCATACAAAGTTAGAGTTCAATCGGTCCCTTTTATTCCAATTAGACTAAAAAAATTGCGAATGGCATTATGGTAGGTCTCGAAAACGGCGTTAATCATACAAATGTTAAAATGCTGATGATGAGAATATTCAATTTATTCAAACCCAATTACAGATTCCCTTTAATTATGATATCTAGAAGATTTAACCGAACGATTCGAATATTGTTTTCCAAAGCAGGTGTTTTCAGACATTTTTTGTCAGGTAGAAAATTGCTAAACAAAATTCGCGACATCCCCACTATTTTTGAGCGGTACTTTGCCATTGCCATCTGCCGGTTTGAGTCTTGCTTGTGGGAAACTTTTGGTAAAAATGTTGCAAAAATCGAAAATTCAGAAAAACTTACACCTAAAAAAATTGTAAAACAAGATAAGACATACGATTTTCGGTAGGGGCTCAGCTCGCATGCGGAAACAATACTTGTAATCCGGCTCATATTCAATATCACCGATCCTTGAACTCGTAGAAATCTATTGGCGAAGGTTTCCCATCGCTCTGCTTTATCTCGAGTTAGACGAGGAACAGGCGGACAGACGGACAAAACCATCGCACCGCATATGAACCAAAAACAATAAAACGCCTCACTATGTCCCAAGATAAGTTCGCCTTAAGATATAGTGCAATGTTTCAAAAGGGATGATGTTACTATTATCACTTTGTGAAAACGGTAAGGAATTTTTATCTGCCCAAAACCATTTTTGCCATAAATTGTTACCGCATTTTCTCAAAGCTCACGCCATTTTTTATTTTGTGTTGAGTATTTATATATCTACTCACCAACGGCATGTATAATCAGAGAGGATTGATTTTGGTTCGGGTCCTTTAGACCTGCACATCGTAAAAAATTGTCACTTTGTCCAGAAACATACCCGCTTTAAGGTTTTAGCGCATTCTCTGAAAGGCCGTTTCAGTATTTATTCTTAATTTACTGACTGCATAGCCCGATAGGATGTGCATTTAGCATAAACACGGTAAAAGTGTCACTCTGTCAAAAATCACATCCAACAACCAGCTCGTTTAAATTTTTGGCAAATTTTCTTAAAGAAGGTGGTTCTATTTATATCATTCGTGTGTATTTACATAAATGAAGCTGGTGTAATCAAACAGGGGATGTTGGGAGGCAACTCGCATAATTATTCTCATTTACTGACAACTTGTGCAATTATTAGAGGGACCATAAATCAAAAATTTTGGTTTTGTCTTGCATCTGGCCCGAAAACTAAAAACTATCAAAAAATATACTTGTTTGCTGAAGTTATGAGATAAGGATTATGATTCCATGCAAAAAGTGACAGAAAAAAAAGTGTGTTGCATAAAGTCTTACTAAAACGCTCGACAGGGTTCTAGCGTAGGTGGCGCTGCAAGGTTCAGTGATACACAAAATGCAGCAATGATTTGCTACTATTTTGAGTCCGTCCCATCAAAAATGTGCAGTGCATCTCTCGAATCTTGCGTGCTTTTATTACAAGCGTGGATTTTGATCTTATGGTAAATATGCCATTTTTCTTATTCCGATCATTAGCAACAAATCCATTTCTTGTGGTTGCAAAGTGCAAATTTGATAGAAAGAACTTTGATTGTAGAATCAATTTGAAATTATGGATTCTACAAGCCACATTCTATAAGAAAATTTTTTTTCTGGGTCAATCTGAGACAATTTTTTTAGGGGGCTCAAAAAAAAAGGCAGTGTATAACCTTCCATATTTACCAAAAATCGACTACACCAAAATTTCTCGGGAAAACACTTTTTCTTATTAATTTTGGTGCGTAGAATCTAAAACAATTCGTACTTTTTCTATCGGACTTCTCAATCAAAAGTTATGGACTAGAAACCAATTTTGAAAGAAAATTCAAAGGGCTGTAACTTTTGAACCAGTAGCCCAATCTTGGCACTGTTTGAAATTATGGATTCTACAGGCTACATTCTATAAGAAAATTTTTTTCCGGGTCGATCTGAGACAATTTTTATTCGGGGCTCAAAAAAGGCAGTGTATAACCTTCCTTTTTGTTAATATGATGCTATGTCTAACTGACATGGTTTCGAAGATATTTGAAATTTTTGACATTTTTTCCGCAGTTTCAGAGGTGCAGTAAATTAGCTCTGTTGCCTGACAACTTAGCAAAATGTTTTTTTACGAATGGACAGCTAAAAGTCCACGCTATCAAATGCTATTGGTCTGATTTTCAAATGTGATTCGAAAATAATACGAATAAGTAGCGTTCAAAGTTGACAATCGGTTTTTGGTCAAAAACACGAAATTTTCAAATGGAGACCATATCTTTACTATGCATCAATGAAAAGAGCATAAAAAAGCGGATAAAAAATTGTACTTGCAAAATTTTTCTAAAAAAATCCTAAAAAAACTGTCCACTTTAGAAAAATTTACATAAAAAAGTACACTTTTGTGTCCGTATTTTTATGCCATTTCCATTGATACATAGTAAAGATATGGTTTCCACCTGGGTTTCCATTTGAAAAGTTTTTGACCAAAAACCGATTGTCAACTTTGACCGATTGTTCGTAATCACATTTGAAAATCACCACTAACATCTAATACAGCAGATTTTTAGCTGTCCATTCGTGAAAAAAATATTTTGCTAAGTTGTCAGACAACAGTCAAATGTCAAATAACTTCGAAACCATGTCAGTTAGACATAGCATCATATTAACAAAACCATACTGATTTTTTATGGAGAATTCAAAAATACCATCAGAAAAGATAGTGCCATTTGAAATACGAAAGTTCCGGATCGTTCTGATACAACCGGAAAAGCGGCCATCTTGAAAATATTTTTAAATGATTCTTTTTGATCGATTATTCAGAAATTTGATGAACCTATAACCTTTTGTTTATCTATCATGGTCCCGATCTCTATGCGGTTGGTAATTATTAATAGAGTATAAAACGAATGAACCTCAGAACGTTTTGGCACAGCAGATTTATTCCATTTAATTGGACAGCGACGCGGACAAAGTGAATTTCCACAGAAAAATGACGAATCTCTCCCGCTTGCATGTCAAAGTATTTTCTTGAGAGTGCCAGAATGTGTATTTACGCTTAATCGCAATACTCGCAAATAAGGAGAGCATTAATTACGAGAGTGAACGTCAAGCAAGTCGATTTACTTTAGCTCGTATACCGGCATTATTTTTACGTCAACCAGGACGCATTTTAAAGAGAATAGTAATGCAGATGCACCAATCTGCTCTTTATGTTCAATTGAAGCTGATTTGAATAAAGTAACTGAAGTAAAAGCAGCCGTTACATACGAACTCTGTATACATAATCCAGGTACGCGCTCTTTCTATAAAGCTCGCCATGCAAATGACGTCAAGGGGCGTTTGACAGTTTCTGAATTATATTTAAATAAGGTCGCGGACCCCGATTGAGGTCTATTCTAAATATAATTTATCATTTTTCACAATCCTCTCGTTACCTGTCCTGAGAATTCTCACATTCCCTTTCATTTTTCAACCCCTTGATCACAATGCAAACGTATGCAGATGTTGTCTCAGCACTACCTGCTGACTTCTTTGCATATGGTCTACCTTGCGTCTAAGTGTCTACTACCCTTTCTTGGGCATTATGTTCCTCAGGTAGCTAGCTGCTACCCTCGCTTTGTATAAAGATAGACTGTCAATAGAAGCTAATGAAAGGGTCGCTCTACAACTGCTCCACGTATGTGTATGCAAAGGTAGGTTTGCTTAATTTGAATACAGAAGTTCCTCTTCCGGAGTAACCCTCTCGGCTCTTGTGATTTATGTTCAAGGTTGCATTGGGCCAGAACCGTCAGTTGGTCGACCGAAAAAAACACCCAACACTTACAGGTAGATACCCTGCGAGTAATAATTAATTAAACTCAGATTGCCTGATGTTTCTTAAATGACTACACGCAGGTGCTGATTAACTGATTCCCGATTTTAAAACAGAACCCTCTAGAGTAGATCGATGACTAATTCGTGTTTATCTTTACAGGTTCGACGCTGACCGGCGACGCGGCGATCAATCAATTTGTTGAACTTTAATAAACGTCCCTGTTTTTTTACTGTGTTTTATTTCAAGCCATCGATCTCCATAAAAATTACCATCTCTTCCGCATCGTAGCGCATATCTGTTGAACCGGAAGTTATACGTTCCGACACATCCAATCTAGTACTCCACGGAGTTTACCTGGGAACACAATGATTGGGTTTGTTGTTACACAAACGTTTTTGACCTCACTTTAAGTGCCCTAATCGAACGTTTCAATGCCATTTATTGCGCCAATTGGCAAATAAAGATTACGGTCTTGTTAATGGGACTATGCCATTCAAGTAGCAAAAATTTATTGTTGCCGAGGCTGATCTTAAAGAAAGGAAAAGTGAGATAGGTAGGTAGATTCCGATCTCTAACTAAATCAGCGCACCAAGAGAATTACCACTCGCAGAACGATAGTGTGTCCATATATTTCGATAACTAAAGTTTTGTTAGTAGAAGAATTATTTTTATGGAAGATTCACTTATTTCATTTTAATGCCATCATTCTTTTTGTGTTATTCTGAACGTCGACATAGGAAATATGAGGCACCTTATAATAGGTCTAGTCCAAGGGTAATTAAAGTTTCTCTTGAATTTATAATTGCTGGTAGTAGCTATATGAATGCGAACCGGTAATAGCTTTAATTTGATTCCTATAGATCGAATGTGAAAAAGAGGTTTCGTATTAATTTGAAAGATAAATAAGTACTTTCAGACGTACAGTCGTACCCTGCTGAAAAAATTAAACTGTTCATTACAGGTCATAACTTCAACGTACTTCGATAGGGCTTAACAAAATGTAAGTGCACAGTCACGTTTCATTTTTGATGTTCATTGGGAAACAGAAGTTGCCAAAATGGGGTCTACCCCCCCCCCCCCCACACACCCCAAGCATCTTTTTGTGTGACCAAATTTGCAAACCACAACGCTGATTAGTATTTTTCCGTAGGTTTTATGAAAATCGTGAAATATTATTCATATTACTAAGACACTAAGACAAAGGGCGTAAATTAGGAGCAATGTCATTCACCGTTTCGTCATTTATAAGTGTCATCGGAATACCCAAATAGTAAAGCTACAAGCAATTATGCAATTTGTTGTTATACAAAAAAACGCAAATCCTATGGCACTTCTGATTATATTAATGTCCTGCAGATATTTCAGGTCGTCAAAATGAGAAAAAAATGCAAATGTATGCATGGTGTAAAAGGCGTCGTTTTCATCATACAGGGTGGCAAAGAGAACACCCTGTGTACTGCGACTAAATATTTTGATACTTTATTGTACAGATTCGAAAAAATAATTGATTGATATATAAAATTGAAATTGAAATTGAAACAAGTATCAGAGACGCAAAATACGAGAAAAAAAAACTTTGCCCTTTACCACCCTGGATAACGAAAACGGCACCCTTTCGACCATGCACATATTTGCATTTTCTTCGTATTTTGAGGAGTACTATCACCCCCTGAAAAATCTGTATGACATTAATTAACACCCTGGATCTTGATGACTTTTGATTAATTGAAAGGTGCGAAATAGTAACAAATAAAAGAAACTCTAGTTGGGGGGGGGGGGGGGTAGTACGAAAAATGAAAAGCATGTCTTAGTAATAAGAAGTTTTTTGATGTATATTTATATTTTTATCAATTTTCTGTCAATTTCGTGTTTGTTATTTGTTCAAATTTAGTCACAAAAAAGGATGCTAAGAGGGCTGAGCATATGCACTTAATATTTCATGTTACTGTCAAAAGGTGAAGGCATTTCTCCCTAACACTCCCATTTTGGATATTTCAGGTTTTGAACTATCTGATTTTTAATACAAAATCAAAAATTACCTAAAACATAGACTCTTTTGTGCATAAACATGCAAACGTGAAATGATGAAAATGTTGAGATCAAAATTCTACTCCACCCTCGTTTACCGGTGCGCCATCTTGGGGTGGGAGGTTGGGGACAAGAGCTGCTAGCAATAAAATTGACGCTGCTGGTTTGATTGGAACAATTTTCGATGTTCTAGGACATTGGTGGAAATATCAAATATATTTATAGCCAGAGGATTTTCAGAGGCGATAATTGCCCCCCGCCCGCCTAATACCGGTAGATAAACAAGAACTGAGGCTAATTTTTTTGAAAATTTACATTCCACTAGAGGGCGGTAGTTATAGAAAATCTAGTGACACCTATTTATAACCAGTAACATAAAAAAGTTGTAAGTAATTGTAATTGAAAATTGTGTCAGTCAGTGAGAAATTTCTTCAAAAATTACGTAATTGCAGTACTAAAAGGGAGTTGATTTGTAAGCGCTATCGGAAGATTGTGGAACCTATAAAGGTAATTGAACATAGAAAAAATATTGGATGCACGACAAAAATGCACCCACCACGATTTAAATATGGCAGTGTAAGGGAGAAATTTCTTAAAAAAATACGTAATTTCAGTACTGAAGGGGAGTTCATTTATAAGTGCAATTGGAGAGTTCTTTGTGGATCTCACAATGAAATAAAATATAGAATTGCAACCCCCAAAATTGAAAATTCTTGTGTCACTAAGGAAGAAATTTCAGTTCTAAAGGAGGGTTCACTTATAGCGCAATTGGAGGGTGGGTTTTCGATCCCTTAAAGGCTATTGAACACAAAAAAATTGTACTTACCACAAAAATTCCAACCCCTCTGTCTTAAAAAAGTTACATAATCTCTCTACTGAACGGAAGTTCATTTATAGTTGCAATTGGGGGGTAACTTATCGATCCCTTAAAGGTGATTGAACACAGAAACAAATATTTGATGCGCCACAATAATTGCAACCCCTACAATTGACAATTGCTGTTAGAAATGTCTGAAAAAACGAATTAATTTCAGTACTGAAGGGAAGTTCATTTGTAAGCACAATTGGAGGATTGTAGACCCCTAAAAAATAATTGAACACAGAAAAAAAATTTGATCGACCACAATAATTGCAACCCCCACAATTGAAAATTGCTGTGTCAGTAAAAGAGAAATTTCCTAAGAAATTTCTTAAAAAATTACGTAATTTCAGTACTGCAGGGGAGTTGATTTATAAGCGCGATTGGAAGGATACTTATAGATCCCTTAAAGGTAATTGAATGCAGAAAAGAATATTGGATGCATCACAATAATTGCAACCCCCACAATTGAAAATTGCTGTGAGAAATTTCTGAAAAAATGATTTAATTTCAGTACTAATGGGAAGTTCATTTGTAAGCGCAATTGGAGGGTTGTAGACCCCTAAAAAGTAATTGAACACAGAAAAAAAATTTGATCCACCACAATAATTGCAACCCCCCTAATTAAAAATTGCTGTGTCAGTAAAAGAGAGGAAATTTCTTAAAAAATTACTTAATTTCAGTACTGCAGGGGAGTTGATTTATAAGCGCGATTGGAAGGATACTTATAGATCCCTTAAAGGTAATTGAATGCAGAAAAGAATATTGGATGCACCACAATAATTGCAACCCCCACAATTGAGAATTGCTGTGAGAAATTTCTGAAAAAATGATTTAATTTCAATACTAATGAGAAGTTAATTCGTAAGCGCAATTGGATGGATGTAGAACCCTAAAAAGTAATTGAATACAGAAAAAAAATTTTGATCCACCACAATAATTGCAACCCCCACAATTGAAAATTGCTATGTCAGTAAAAGGGAAATTTCTTAAAAATTACGTCATTTCAGTATTGAAGGGGAGTTGAAGTATAAGCGCGATTAGAGGGATGCATGTAGATCCCTTAAAGGTAATTGAATGCAAAAAAGAATATTGGATGCACCACAATAATTGCAACCCACACAATTGAAAATTGCTGTGAGAAATTTCTGAAAAAATGATTTAATTTCAATACTGAAGGGAAGTTCATTTGTAAGCGCAATTGGAGGGTTGTAGAACCCTAAAAAGTAATTGAACACAGAAAAAAATTTGATCCACCACAGTAAGTGTAACCCCCACAATTAAAAATTGCTGTGTCAGTAAAAGGGAATTTCTTAAAAATTACGTACCTAATTTCAGTACTGACGGGGAGTTGCTTTATAAGCGCAATTAGACTAATTAGAGGGATGTTTGTAGATCCCTTTAAGGTAATTGAATGCAGAAAAACATGTTGGATGCACCACAAAAATTGCAACCCCATAATTGAAAATTGGTGTGTCGGTAAGGGAGACACTTCTTAAAAAAAAAAGTAATTTCAGTAGTGAAGGGGAATTCATATATAAGCTAGAAGGGAGTTAATTTATAAGCCCAATTGGATAGTTGCTTGTAGATCCTTAAAGGTACTTGAACACAGAAAAAAATTGGGTCTACCACAAAAATTGCAACCCCCACAATAGAGCATTTCTGTGTCAGTAAGGGGACATTTCTTAAAAAATTACGAAATTTCAGGACTGAAGGGGAGTTCATTTGTAAGCGCAATGGGGGGGATGCTTGTAGATCTGCTTGTAATTGTTACAGAAATAAAATATTTAAATTGTAACCTCCATAATTGAAAACTGTTGTATCAGTAAAGCAGATATTTCTTAAAAAAATACGTAATTGGAGTACTAAAGGGGGGTTTACTTATAAGCGCAATTGGAGGGTTGCTTGTAGATCCTTAAAGGTAATTGAACACCAAAAAGAAATATTGGGATGCATCACAATAATTGCAACCCCCATAATTGACAATTTCTGTGCCAGTAAGAGAGAAATTTATTAGAAAATTACATATTTTCAGTACAGAAAGGAAGTTCATTTACAAGTGCAATTGGAAAGTTGTTTGTCTTAAAAAAATATTGGTTGCACCCCGTAAGTTATGATCGTCATAATTAAAATGTTTCTAAAAAAAATGTAATCTTAGTACTGATGGAGAGTAGCTTGTGGACCCCTTTAAGGTAATTGAACACAAACATAAAAATGGAGGATGTACCATAAAAGTTGTAACCCCTCACAATTGAACATTGAATTGTAACTAAAGAGAATTTTCTAAAACGGTATAAAAGTAGGGATTCAGTACTAACAAGGATCTCAGTATCAAGATCA